TCATTCTTTGACTTTTTCACTTTTGTACTTCTTAAACGAGACAGTGGGGTAGCAGAGCTTTTTTTATGAATAGTTTTGGGGGAGAATTAAGCAACCTTTTCATAGTTCGGCTTGTGAAGAGGGTCGTTTCGTAGACTTCGCCTCTGAGAGGGGGGGGGGGGTCGTATTTCCAAATTTTCCCTCGACGTTCGCTTGACCCCCTGATTGTAACTCTGTTCTTGTAAACCCCTTGAATGCGGGGAAAAAGTGGATAAGGTCAGCGAAGAAAAGGAGGTCAACTGCTAGTTGTTTGTGGCAGGCCCCAAAGTGGCGAGCCGCTTCGAAACATCACATTCCGTTCAGAGACAGTCCAGATGCCAGGAAAAAAGTGGCTAGAGGTCATACAATAAGGAAAGGTTGAGTTACAATGGTAGGTGCGGCGAGCGCTGGAGTGGGTGGAGTTTTTGACGGAATTTTCAATTTGGTTACGAGACTTCTGAAACAGAAAAAAAGTAGACAGAGTTGGCAAAGGAAGGGAGGTCCCGTATCGGGTTAGGGCGCGCAGTGAGGCGGAGTTTGCCAGGAGCAGTATAAGAACGTCACCTATTTCGTACCACTGCAGTCCTGTTCACAGTACGCGATTGTGTCCCTAGCGCAACTGGTAAAATATTTCAGAATCCTGAAAAGAATCTACGCCTAAAATAGATGTATACTCTATAAACTACGTCGTTTACACTGTTCAGATATTTGCTGCAGAATATAGAAAAAAGATCACATATACATTATTTATCACATAGAAGTTACGCTATCATCTAAGGGTAAGAAAGAGACCTGAGATAACCATTTTACCTGGTTCACTTTCGGTATCTTCAGAAATATCGTCCATCTCCATATCCTCCTCCCCATCAACACAATCAGGACGGCTCTTCATGTTAGCCTATGAATAATTATAAATCAAGAATTCAAAGAGTATAAAATCTAGTTCAAAAGACTAAGAGAAGGGCGTGTGTTATATTTTGCTAATTATTCAGATGGTTAGAGCACGTCTGTGAAACAATTCATATGTTGCCGCAAATGCCCAACACTTTGCAGACTGTCACATCAGTTAGACATCTGGTTTTAATTTCGATAATTCCAACCTCCATTTCTCTTTGACAAATTAGGCCCTGACTCCCTTCCTGGTAGAGCACTAGCGGGGCAGACCGTCAAGCTGTGTCAGTTTCAAGATCTTACGATCCTTTCCAACATCTGATTGTGTCAATAGTGTCGCATCGTATAATCACTTTTCACATTCGATCTCCACCCCACACCCCAAAAATGGCGTAGAACGGGTGCTCGGGGGAAGGGGATGGGGGAGGTGCAGCTCCTTACCAAAATTTCTAACGCCACTCCTTCCATTTCAGCATACTTGTCGACCACCACGACCAAGATCAAAAATATGTATTAGCCTCAGTCCTGCTTCCTGGAGATTCCAACAGATATTAGGCCCCGCACCGAACCCACGCGGGCCACTTTTCGTGCCTTTTCGTTTTCATTTGTTGTCTATACATTTCCACTAGTGTTAGAATGACGGTATTTTTGTAGCGATTTTATTTGCTGAACTTTGTATTTTCTTTCATTATCAAGAAACAATCGCAGACAATTCTACACACTGGTTTTGAGCAACCTAAGAAACGGCGATGGACTAAGACAATTTCTTTTACTCCGGTGGAACCGTTCAACGTGTGCAGCATACCACAGGGTCAGATTAGAGTATTTGCATCTCACTTTGTAGTGATTCAAGGTGGCGAGGGTGTGATAGCCATTGTCTGCCGCATGTGCCGCCGCTAATCTTAAAACTACAACAGATTTGCACGCTCTGAAACAGGGTTTCCTGAAAAGCGTACTTAGAATGCTGTCTATTGTGGTACTTCGACACTTTTTTGAACAGGGTGAAAAGCGCCACCTCGATTTTTTCTACCCTCGATTTCGAACCAGACTGCTAACCGATCCTCTGAGCTCTGCTGAAAGAGGTTCCTTTCATCTCGCTGTCTTGAAGGCAAGAATCATGATCAAAGTGTCGCTGTAATCCCACTCATATTAGGGTAAAAAAGTCCTGAGCCGTTTGACACTTTTTTGTTCTTTGCTTTTTTATTCCACGTAGAATGGAATCTACCCAACAATATAATCACCATTGCTACCCACTACAGAGTCCCACCTAATGTGCAGTTCAGCGACTTCCTTCTCCCAGAACAGAGCAGACTGAGAGTCAAAGAAATCGCTGACCGCTCTTCCAACTTCTTTACCTTTGGTGAATTCTTTCTTCGCTAGGGATCCCTTAAGGGGATAGAGTAAGTGATAATCAGAGAAGGCAATGTAAGGGGAATAGGGTGGATGGGGAACCGCGTCCCAGATCAGCTCTTCCAATTCTGCACGGGTCTCTTTAGCTATGTGGGGCCTGGCGTCATCGTGGAGTAGGTGGACAGAAGTTCGTCTCGGTCGTTTTTCTTGAACAGCGTCCGCTAGTTTCTAGAGCTGACTGGCGTAAATGCTGCCGGTAGCGGTATGTCTTTACGGGAGCATATCATAGTACAGCATTCCTCACGAATCCCAGAGGTAGCAAAGGAGACAGCTTTTGGGGTGAAGGTCCGATTTTGCTTGTGTCGGCAGGCCCTCTCTTCGAGGGAGCCACACGGCACCGTGCTTGTTAGAATCGTATAGGACCCCACTCTCATCTCTCGTAATCACGCCTTCCAAAAACCCCTTTCGGTGCGGGCAAAGAAGGAGAAACTGACAAATGGGTACCCGCCTGAACCGCGTGCTATCGGTCAAGACATGAGGAATCCATTGAGTCACCACTTTCCTGTGGCGAGGTCGTGAAGGGGACCGAGGACTGTGGGATGGGTGCACCCGAGTCTTATCACAAGGCTGCGGGTGCTAACGTCCGGATCCTCTTCGACAGCGCCGAGAACGGTGGAGTCTTCTACCTTTTGTGGGGCTTCCCAACCTTGTCTTTTCTTTGAAAGCCGTGTCTCCTCCTTCGAAGCCTGCGAACCAGAGCTTGGCACTGATGATGGAAGTGGTGTCCCTTCCCAATGCGATGCTGATAATGTTGACGGTTCCCACTGCTCCTGTGCCGCAGCGCCATTCATTGAAGATGATCGCTCGAAAGTGCTCTTGTGGAATCGACATCATGATTAAAGTTAAAGAAGGCAACCCGGCAATATATACCTACTGCGGAGAAGTATGATCGACAGCGATAGTCTATCACGTAGCAGATTCTAGGTATCGATCAATAAGCGAAAGTTCTGGAGCTTTCAAAAAATCGGCTCAGGACTTTTTTACCATCCTAATATGAAGTTGTATATGGAATGGCCTGAGAGTGCCCGAGAAAATGGAAAGAAAATCGGTAAAACACGGGAAGTACGACCTTCTTGCTCTATGGGTGTGGCTCACTAGGACAGAAAGCGATTTTTCGCGAGTTTCGCAGCGCGAAACATTTTTCGCCGTAAGAACCTTGGGTCCATCGCTGATCATGCGTGAACCTGGAGTTTCTGCAGAAAAAAAGTTTCGCGCTCGAAAGGCGAAAAGTCGCTTTTCAACCTAGTGAATGACACCCTTGCTCTATACTGCAGAGATTTCTAAGAGGCAGGCATGCAGATGAGATAATGTGAATCTTGGAGAGGGGTGAGAGAAGTGCGAGTAGAGAGAGAACATAGCAAACTACCAAAGCGACGCAGACAAATATCGAACGGTGGGCGGGTCCTGATAGTTCAAGTGGACTGATCAAGTCCCATACATAGTTTCAAGTGGGACGATCAGTCATAGCGCCTGAGCGTTCTCATGGCGCGTTTCGATGCGCAAAGGTGGCGTGATCTCTGCAGTGACGGATCACATCACACGTCGATTCAGGGATAGGGGGCGACTACTTCAGGGAAGCTTAACTCGCAGCTTGCCTTCAAACAGCGGCACAGCTGGTAGCAGCCCGGCTTCACGGGCAAGAGTTCATAGGAGGGTGATCTGCTCTTTGCTATTCCACATATTGTTTTGACAGCATGAATAAAATGCACTTAAAGGAAGCGATTACGATAAGGAATTTTCGCATCGGGGGGGGGGGAGAACCTGCGCCACACGGAGCAATTACTTGGCTGCCAAGGAAGCGATGTGTGGTCCTCCCACGGCGAAAGGTGCTGTGGTTGCTGAGCAGGACCCGCGTGACGCCCCGCCCCCAGTGACGTGACGCCCACTAGTTTTGTTGATGATCTGGATGGACTGTTTGCTGTTGGCTTTTCATTTTGGATGATCATTTCCCTTCTAGCGGCTGTATCTTCCAACTTGCCCACGTATTGCCTTATCAATCAAACACTATGCTTGTTGGCATGATGGCGGCTATCGGGGTTAACACGTCCGAACAACGTCGTTCTTTACCGTCGCTCATCCATGGTCGAAAATGAAAGGGCAATCAAAGGGGTACCATTTTGCTTATTTTCGACGGATTTCTTTGCTTTTTTCGCCATTTGGCGTACTATTGAGACCCCCACGTCCCCTCTAAACCCCTTTGAGATCTATCGTAATCGCTTCCTTTAACGCAATTTCCTTCACCAAAGCCTACCAGGTGTGTTTCACTAGGACAAAAAGCGACTTTTTTTCGCATCCCGAAACATTTTTTGCTGCGGGAGCTCCAGGTCCACTCACGATCAGCGTTGGACCTGAGGCTCCCGTTGTTTCGCGTTGCAAAACGCGATAAAGTCGTTTTTTGCCCTAAGTGGACCACATCTAAGCTTACCAATAGTTGTCTGCTTGAAGAAGTTGCACGGATATTTGATGTGCCTTGGCACTACTTACCCATGACTGTATCTGGCAGCCCTGGCGCATGCGCTAGGGGTTTAGCAAATGCAAAGATCATTGACTATTCTGACGGTGTTGGGAAAATATCAGGAAAACCAAAAACTCACTAGTTTTAATAGCGCAAACTGATCCTAAGTATGGTCCTCACATACACAGTGGCACTCCACTCTTTTACATTACCTCCCTCACCGCAACTACGAAGGAAGTGTGGACATCAATCGTTCAAGATGAACACGATCGTTGTGTCGCAAATACCTGGAATTAATCTGTAAGGAAGTACACGCAAAAACAAAAGCATGAAAAAACAAACCCGAGGGCTTCTAACAGGAATACGGATGTAGGGTATACGCTCTCGTCTTCCAATATAAGGTGAATTCGGTGTACAAAACACTGTTCAACCATTCCTCCAAATCGTCTGCTTTCAGACCACGCGTGGTCAACGTGTATTCGGTAACAATCTCTTTGAACCACTAAAGTGGATAGTAAACATACAAAGATTTTGAGAGATCCATTCCCAATTTTGCCACTGCAATGACCACCTAAAGGACTACCAAGCTTGGATATTAAGATTCTTCTCATAGCTCAATAAACGTCCATCCATGACTTCAGACTGCCGTCACACTCGGCGGTGGGCAAGCGATGGAGCGATCGCGTCGCTCCATCGCTTGTCCGTCGCCGAGTGTGACGGCGGTCCCGTGAATCTTCTCACGTTATTTTTTCTCAGTTTCTTTAATATTAATTAAAGGGCCGTTTGCTATTTTTTAGGGAAAACTTTTTCTTCGAGGAAGACCTCCGAAGCAAGCAGACGTTTCCGAGAACTGTTGCGTTTCGTGTTGAAAACACGTTCCCTCTTCTGCCTTGCGGCGTTACCCAAGAGCCACCCTTTTGTGTTGCATCATCTTTTCCCTTTTGCTCTTCTCTCTTTGTATGAACTCTCACTCATGTTTTATCGTTTTAATCCAAGTATCCTTTCTGTTTTCTAGATCACTGCAATTCGAACACCTCGCCTCCTTATTCCCTTTAAAAAAAACTCAGAATAGTCCTTCAAAGGTGAAGGCAACGGCACGACCACCTTCTCTGTCTTCGCTTTCCTCAGAATTGCTAATTCTACCAGACGATTCTGAGGCGTTACAATAAATATCTCACTGATCCAGAACACCACTGAGATTATTTGAAATCACTGCCACCATTTGAACATTTAAAAAAAAACCTTGCTTGACTCCGTGTGACGAAATTGCCGACTGCGCGTGTGTATATCTATGAATTTAGAGAGTAATAAAGCCCGCCGGACAATTGGAAATGGCTATGGCGCTTTCGCTGACAGACCGATCTCCAAAAATGAGAGGCTCAACGGCGATTTTAGCCATGGTCTCTAGCCTTCTTCTCTAGCATTTGTCCTGCTTATTGGCGGGGTCCGCCGTGGTAACGTTGAACCAAAAGCGGTAAAGTCGGATCACTACCACATAACTTTCGTCGTTTCGGCCATCCTCTGTTGCAACTGACGATTGTCAACATGCGCGCGCGATTGATAAGTATGGAAGAGGAAATTGGTACATCAGCCCGCCGGGGCACGCCACGAGTCGCAGATGCTGAACATTTCTTTTTCCTTGCCAAAATTGTTTTTTTTTTTTAGCTTCGCTACCATCGTAAATTGACAGAAATCAATGCAAGCTATTTTCAACAAAGGTGAGCAATAATGGCGGTACCTCAAAGGCCCAAATTTTATGAATGAATGGTATGCTGCGTTCGTCGTGTAGTGTAGAGGCACTCTCGAAATCCAGTTAGCTCAGAAGCTTGGCGAAAGAGTTCTGCGATCAAACGCGGCTCACTCTGATTCAAAAGCTGCATTAGCAATTAGAAAAAAATGCAAAATTACTTCAAGCATGGCTATGGCTGATTGTTGAGAAAATGAGCAGTAAAAAGAGAAAAATCTGGGAGGAAAGCTCTTATCTTCTCCGCTATGAAGTTATTTCTCTCATGTTGAAGGTGCTTTTTCACTTTCGAACAACATGTTATTAAAGAACTAAGACTACAAAAAATTCCAACTTGAAAAGAGAGGCGACACGACTTATACAATACTTGATGAAGAGCGTTTAACATTTGAGTGAAAAGTAGCAAAGCCACTCACAAATGAAGGGAACCTCTGCTTGGTTCCGCTCAAATAGGGATGTGTATTTTGGTACAGAGCGCGAACCGCATAAGTACGGATGTGTACTCTGGTATGTGGATGTGTACTAGGCGCAGAACAATCCCTACAAGCAGCTTCCTTAACCATAAAGCTTAGAACAATTGCTGCTCACACAGTTCTTTTTTTGCACAAACAAATTGTTTCACCTGTCCCAGGGTTTCTATCGCTTGCGAAAATTGGAGTGACTGCACTTGTCAAACATTGTTGCGCCAAAATAACAACCCTACTGTAAATTTTCTTTTACTTTTTTTTTTACTAATCACTAAGTCTTTAAATCTGTGCTGCTGAACGCTGGTGTTTCGACAGAATTCGAGAATTCAAAATTTCGACACATCAAAATTTGTGTTCATCCCCAAAAAACTTTACACTGCAACATATCAATGATATTATGGCTTCAACGGGGACAGGGTCCCCATATTTGCTCCTGACAGTTAGCAACATGTGCGCCTTCTAGCCTTCATAGAGGAACTGATAATCAAATACACAGTTTTCATAGAAAAGTACAAGAATTTCAACTGGCCTCATCTTTTGCTAACGTTTCCGGCCCTCCAGAGTTGAAATCCACTCCTAGCTGGTAACCACCCCATGTAGTTATTACTCGGTCTACAATTTGTCTCCATTCCATTACGTTCGCTGCTGCCGACGCCATTACGAGCTGCGACAAGACTGCTGTGAATATCCTTCAGTTTGACTACGTAATTCCGAGCACTGCTCGAGAAAAGTTCGAAAGAGTACTTCAGATGTTAAATAAGGCACTCGCATTTCTGCGATTCGCGCGAATCGCGCGAAGGATCGCGGACTCTGACACCAGTTTAAGAAACAGGCCATCCACACGAATTCTATCAAGTGCGGCGATGGCCACGTCAAACACATCGACACGCCTATCAGTCGGCGAATACTGACTGTAACCTACAACTGTAAGCCAGAAGGCGGGGGGACAAGAATCTAACTTCAGCGGTGCTAACTTAGTTGGGGGGCCACGCGGCGGCGCGGCAGTCTGCTCGCCTGGCATGTTCGGAAATCCGTGGGCCAGGGGGAGTGTAGGCCAGTCTAGGGGGTGGGGGGTGGGGGCAGTCACTTGACATGCGTGAAAAGCTGGAATGTTCGAGTTTACACTGTCTCGCTCGAGAGGCCCAGGTGAGCAGACTGCCGCGCCGCCGCGTGCCCCCCCCCCCCAACTAAGTTAGCACCACTTCAGCATAATGGCAGAAAGCAACTTTTTTCGCATTTCGCAGCGAGTAAAATTTTCCGCTGCAAGAGCCTCAAGTCCACCACTGATCATCAATGGACCTGAGGTTCCAACAGCGAAAAATGTTTAGCGCTGCGAAGTACGAAAAGATCGCATTTTGGCAGTGAACCACGGGTGTGGGTACTTAGGACAGAAAGCGACATTTTCGCGCTCCCCACTTGTCCTTCTCACCCCGATTTGGGCGCGCGCCTGGTCCGATAGTCCCGCGGACCCCTGTGCTGGTGTGAATTTGAACCCGCATCACTCACCAATTCGCGCGCCACTACGACTCGTCCGCGCTCCTGCCGTCCCTTCCCGGCCACCGCCGCGCCGGCCCGCGCGCCCCCAAATCGTGAAAGAAGTGGGGAAGCGACATTTTCGCGCTTCGCAATGCGACATCGCGCGGCAGGCCAGCGCTCCCACAGCGAAAACAGCTACGGTACGAGGGGCGCGTGAATAGAGCGCGTTCATTTGCTCTAGTTCTAAGTTCGCGACAAGGAAATTTGGAGCTCACTAACCATGGGCTTGATAGTGAACGAGGAAATGGCCACTCAGAAGAGGACTACTAACTAGGAATGAAGAAAGTGGTAGATTAATTTTGCTGAGGATGGATGGTAGACCCTGGAAGAGGAGTGGTTGATGGACGCTCGATGAGACTCACGACAAAGGATCAGTTCATCAGTTAGCTATGATATATAGAGTATACCTAGGCCCATGAGTGGTAACCTCGTTCACCAATAATTTGAAGTGTTCTAGAATTCTAGAATACCACTTTAACGGCATCGCTCGGAATCGTGTAATTCACAAACATTTCCATTGATGAGAGAGAATTGGTGATTCACCGCATGTCTCAATACAATGAGTGTGAGCGTGGGCAAGCAATAAATCAGAAACTTACAAATTCACGCATGCAAAAAAGCTGCTCCAATCGCGCGCTCTTCATACCGTAGCTGTTTTCGCTGCGGGAGCACCAGCCTGCCGCGCGATGTCGCATTGCGAAGCGCGAAAATGTCGCTTTCTGTCCTAAGCACACCACACCCT